CACCATTTCTCCATTTCTCCCACCAAGCAAGGCACAGAAACACTTGCACAGACATATTTTAAAAACTATATTAACCACAAGAAAAAGCTCTCGTGTGTAGCAAACACAAGATACTAAAAAAATAATTGTTGCAGTCCAAGGTCCTCTAGATGGATGCCACTATAATAGGTGGGTGTTGTAGTCAGATACAGGTAGTCCTCAACTTACAACAGTTCATTTAGTGACTGTTCAAAGTTATAACGGCACTGAAAAAAATGACTTACAACTATTTTTCACACTTAAAACTGTTGCAGCATTCCTGTAGTCATGTAATCAAAATTCATACGCTTGGCAACTGACTCATATTTATGATGGTTGCAGTGTCCCAGGTTCATACGATCCCCTTCTGCGACCTTCTGATAACCAAAGTTAATGGGGAAGTCTGATTCACTTAACATCCAGGTTACTAATTTAACAAGCGCAGTGATTCACGGAACAACTGTGGCAAGAAAGTGTGTTGTAAAATAGGGCAAAACTCACTTAACAAATATCTCACTTAGCAACAGAAATTTTTGGTCCAATTGTGGTCATCAGTCGAGGATGACCACAATCAGTAAACCAGTAAACCATCAGTATTGAATACATCTAGTTCAGTTTTAGTTCTTCCAGTAAGGTCAAATAAGATCAAATATGGGGCTTACAGTTTATAATATGTAAGATCGACTTCAATGCTTTTTTTCCAGGACAACAGAAAGTTATCCAAAAGGACTAAAGAGGCAAGGGAACCATAAGTAAAAATAAACTTTAGCCAGAATTTTCAACAATGGAGGTGCATGTGAGTATTTAGAGAACCTAGTCTAAATTCCAGATTCAATGAAGACTTAGAGTCACTCAGAAGAACTCTTAGAAATTTAGACTGTGCTGTTTCTGGAGGCTTGGAACTTTATAATTACAAACCTTCAAGCCAAATGGAAGCCTATACTAAAAATATTTATAGTGAGACAAATATAGTTACCATCTCTGTTCCCAGCAAAATGTAGATTCTAAACTGTGTTCAAAGATGTTATTATCTTTCCAATAATATCTACATCTTGCAAACCTCTGGAAAGACCACTTACTACCTTTGTTTTGGGACAAAGGAGGATGGATCTTTACAATATGAGCCAAGAGTTTAAAGGAAGGGTTTTAAACCTACTTGTGTCTGAGACAGGCTGGATGCATCATCAGCAGTTACAACTGAAATAGATTTATCTGCAGCTTGGATGATGGAATTTTATTTTTGTCAAAGGTTTGAGCTAGAGAATAGATATAAACGTTGACAAAAAGGGAAACTAGGATACAATTTACTTAAACCTTTTGAACTGAAATCCAAAAAAAACAAAACATATTTAATCTGCACTAGGGTATTTTCATGCGGCCTTAAAATTAGTAATTGTTGACTCTTTATCTACTCTATAGAAGAGGCTATCAGTTTTATCCAGAGCTTGTATACAGTGATTGAATCAAATGCTACATTTAAGTAAATAAAAGCTGCATAAAGATGCTTCATGAACAGTTGATTTTTAACTAACTGGTGCAAAATAATACAATGATCAAGATTTGATTACCCCACCATAAACCAAGAAACAGCTCAGTTTTCATCAAACACCTCATAATGACCATTGTAGCGATTGAAAGCAAGAGGAATAAATAGCAGGGTGTGACTTAAAAATAAAATAAAAGAAAAAAATGTGTGTCTGTAAAAGCAAGAAAAGAAGAAATATTGTAACAGGTCTGCTACTCCTCTATGGGTTTCCATGACTGTGACTATTTAAATTTTTTACTCTAAAATCTAGAAGCATCTTTACCTTTAATCATCACTAATTCGGGTCCATCTTCCTAAATTGTCTGACAGCTGATTGCTCCCCACAAGAACTCTCCCTATCCTATATGCATGGAACTGACTTTCTAAAAGTAACCATGGCACATTCTTTAATTTTTAATTAAAAAGTTATAAAACCAGTATTTGATTATAAACAATATTACAAAAGAAAATACAGAACACCAAAACATCCAGAATGTATTTTAGAAAAAGGGGAAAAAGCAAGGATTTGATAGTCCTATGCTGCTTTTATATCAGTTGCTGTGGCCATCAATTCTATTTTTGAATAATGTTTTTAATTATGATATTAAATAATAAATTTTATGATAGTATTTTATCCATTACCAACTTTTATTTTACCATAATTTTAGTCTAAGCGTAGTTTTGCTTTACTGGACAGAAGAATGTCAGGAAGTATAACAACAACAAAACAGACTGTTTCATAACATCATTAGCAATTTTGGTCTTTCTAAGAGTTCTAGTTCCAATAACTAAAGAGACAAATAAGCTAACAATTTTGCATTATGAATCACACATCTTACCCTGTTTTATCCCTGCCTCCACTTTCTCTGTTATCTCCCTTGTGTCAAACTTTATATTGTAAATTCCTGTGAGCAGGGACCTGTCCTCTGGTTATCGGTAAAATGCCATGAAAACTGATGCCACTGTATAAATAAACAATAAATAATAATACTAGATATAACTTTTCTAAAATAGCTTGTACAGAAGGTTATGTATTAAAGGTTAAGAACTCCCAATATAGAGAGAGATGTCTTACTTGGAATACTGGTAACAAAGTAGGAAAATTAAAGCATCTCAAAGAACATTAAAGAATCTACAAAGCATATGAAATTTGCTTTTTCAAGTGGTAGCAGTGGTAATAATTTTCTTTGTCAAAGGGATACAATGAAGAGCTCTCAAAATTTTGTTGAGGAAGTAGCACAAGCTAATGGTAGATATTCACCACAGATAGTCAAGATACTTCAAGAATGTCAAAAGTTCTGGGAATTCTGGGAATATAAACAGACATACTATATCTGTATGCTGCTAAAATTGGGAACACAACTCTACTACAATCCCACATTCCTTAATCATAATTCTTAGCATTCACACTAACTGGGAATTCTGGGAGTTATTAACCCAATACATCTGGAAGGGCATTAGGCTGCAGAAGTCTGTATTGGACAGTTCAACAACTCCAAGCTGCTCTCTATTTAAGAAATGTTGATCTTGCCATCTACTTCTTTATCAGAAATAATAATCATGCGAGTATGTGGGAGACCAAAAAACAAAACAACCCCCCCCCCAATTCAACAGATAACACTTGCTGTAACCTGATGTATCAGCATACAAGGCTCTCCTTAGGCAGTCAGGCACATACTGTAGAGAAGATGACTCTAAATGTTCTTGTTTATAAAAAGAATAATAATAAACCAATTTCTGGATCTCAAATTCCCAAGATAACGGTACTTACCCTGGACTTTCCCAGAGTATTGTCATTTTCATCTGTCACTGTGATCCCATTAATGAGTTCCCTAATGCAGACACAAACATATGACCTTAGACATTAAGATCAACCAGCTAGATGTTGTGGGTTTTTTTGTACTACTCAAGGAAGCATACTAAATGCAACCACTCCTTTTCTCTCCACCACAACTAATCTATGAGATGAAGAGGGCTGGGAAAGTGTGGCTTGTCCTAAATTAACCAGCTGCCTTGTCATTTTTAAAAATGCTGCAGGAGCACTGTTATATTCAGTTTAAATCAAGAGACTCAGTAAAAAATCTTTGCAGGAATGCAAAGCTCCATCAGCCTAAGAACAATTACATTGCAAAGGAAGTCCACACACTTGAGTTACTGAGTATCTGAGACCAATGATGGTGCACTGCTGCCTCCTAGAGAATCCTATTCCTAATTATCACCAAACATTCTGAGGATTTATATGATTAGCAACTCCAAATAGTAATTTGAATGTCAAAATAAAACCTGGGTAAAATGAAGCAGGTGACAAATGTTTTTTTAAAAAGTATCCATCAATATAAATTCATCATGGGATTTTTCAATTGAGACATAAACTGTTTAAGAATGAATAATCTTAAACCAGAGCAAGCTGGTAAAAATGTGCTGTTCTATATAATGTTTCCATTTTTCAAATGTTCCTCCAATGTTCATATCTCACCCTGTATGGTCCATGGTTGTCCCACTGGTGGCTGTTGTAAACACTTGTTATAGCTGGCCCACACCTTCAGTTAGTTAATTAGTGGAGTGCCAAAATTGCACTCCTATAGCACTCAACCCATTCCTGTCTCACTGGGCTTGTTCTGCATTAGCGCCATGATTAAAGTCATGGTTGCTCGTTGATTAGTCATTCTAAAGCCCAATATGGGACACACTATGATGGCATGGAATTTTTAATAAAGGTGCTAAGATAGTTTGTCAGTTGTGGGGAAGGAGCACCAAGATTTGGTAGGACTTCCTGCCAGTCAAAAACAGGTCAAGCTGTAACCCCAAGAATAACAGCATCTCCCAATCTGGGAAAGACAAGTTTTACAATGTGAAATTTTGGCTAGCTGAGATGGAAGAGAAGCTGCTGAGTAAGGACATAAGTATGGGAGCTGCACCTAAACCCATTAGGGAGGTGCTCTGAGAAATATTCTTCAATATTGATCAGTTACACTAACCTCACAACTACTTAATATATATATAGTCTACATCTGATCAAATGGCTGCAATTTTAAACAGAAGATTTAGAAAGTATCATGTTGCTTTCATAATATCAAAGCACAATTATTGTAATGTTTTATATGGGACTTTGTGCTTCCCTCATTAACTTTTTTCTAGACAGGGTAATAGTGACATCTCTATGCTTTGTTTTATTATGTCTAATTAAAAAAATAAATTTTTTATCTGAATAGCGGGTGCCAAAATATATTCTTATGACAGACTAATCTTTAATTATTTTCTTTCTTATTAACTGTTCCTGGTTGTACACAAAATGAAAAGGCAGTTATGGAGAAAAGCATCATTTAATTAACATTTTCTATGTAAAGTTATAAAAAGATTGGTGACAATTCAATCTGGCAGAATAGATTTTTCCATTTGTCCCCAAATCACTCATGCCCTAATTATCAAAGTGACCCAGTCTTATCTTATCTTACAGATTATACAAGAGGCAAAATCTGGGCTGCAGCCAGTTCCCTGCAAATACTCCTCCTGAAGCCATTGGCTAGGTTACTGTGATGTCATTGAATTTTTAATGAATTGCAGCTGTACAGGTAAGGATGACATCAACAAAATGTTGACAGTTCAGCAGCTTCTGTAAGCAAAAGGTCATCAGGCTGGGAGCAAATTATCATATGATAGTCAGGGCAAGAACAAAAGATTAAAATATGCTGTTTTTATTTGGATCACAATTGACTGATTCAATTCATTCTCCATAGCAATTAATTCAGCCCTGGGCAAAGGAACAACATGACCATGAATGACATTTCTGAAGTTTTTCCAGCTGCCACCAGAGTCCAGGAAGCCATCGCACTCTGGCTTTGCAGGGGAAAAATAAATAGTGGCCCAATTGGGGTTGGTGTCACTGAGGACAGAGAGAATTATTGAATTTACTACTTTGTTCCAGCGCCTATCCTATGCTGGTGAGGTAAGGGAGCCACAAGACAAGAAGAATTAAAGTAGTGATAAAATCAAGTTACAAATTGAAAAGAGGGATAAAAATGGAAAGAAGGAAATAGAAAGCAAAGAGGACTACATGACACAGACAGTATACAGGATCTAAAGTCTGCTTTTGTGTCAAAAAAGATTTTGGAGACAGGTTAAAATGATAATAGGACTGTATCATATAGCTTAACATGCTATTTGTCTTTAACCTACTTTTAAGAAGGCACCTGCACTTTAGGCACATAAGCACAATATAAGTGTGCCTATTTTGGTGGCTAGAATATGGTTTAAATTTTAGTTGGTTGCTTTTATTGATATAGCTAGCTATGTGCATATACTGTATATGTAGTTGGTAAATCTAATTCAGTTTGCAAGAGGAAGGTGCAACAGCTAACTAGGATGGAGAAGAGACACTGTACTACAGATTGGTAGTGGGATTATTAAAATTTTCAAGTTTATTTCCTTCTCTTAGGAAATAAATGTATTTTTGACTGGATTAGCAGGTCAAGTCATTAATTATCTTTGTCAAGTCAAGCAATTGAGTGCAAGATAGTATTCTAATATATTTTTTAAAAGCCAAATGTACAAGACAAGAAATAAAGTGTAAAAACAACAAATAATGTAGTGGTCTGTGGTCCATTTTCTCTGTACAAGAGTATTGGTTCCTGGCATTTGGATGTGCCCTCCAGTATGGTAGACCGTGAGGATATTGGGTGCATGCTAATTAGAGGATTAATTAGAGGCAACATGTATCCTTTTTTTGGTTTAGCACACACAATCCTTGCTTTGATTTTAAATGACCCACATTTGTCCATTTAATGGTTTTAATGGCCCCAAACTAGTGACCGAGATGGAAACTGTAGTGACCAATGATGTAGAAGCAAATAATTTCACAAAGGTAATGGAATAATTTCTCTCTGTAAAAAATAGTTATCTGGCTATCTGTTTCTACCATCAGTGGTAATTCTGAAAGGCAGCTATAAGACTGATCAAGTTGTTATTACATAGGAAAAAATACAGCTATCCCCATTCCCAAGCAAATGCTTTTATTCTTATATTAAAATATAGTAAACCAAAGCTGACTTCTGTGCATTATATTCAAGAAAAACCTCCTTCATCATGTTATTCTTTCATCCCTCTCCCTTTTCTGCTGGGATTTCATCAAGAGACTTACTGTTGTCTCATCAAGGGGATATTCACACAGTTGGCAGCAGCTACTGCTGCGAATGGGACCCAACGTGCCACAAGGGATGGTGCTCTCTGTATGGAGGAAGATAAAGCAATAAGGAGCAGGATTAACCTTTACAAGAAAAGGTGAAAAGAACTGAGTAGCAGTACTATGGAAGCCATGGGCAAGGTGGGCTTCTATTGCACTGACATAAATTCTTGTAATCCCACATTAGTCTCTTAGAACAAAAGTGTGCAATCTGCAGTTCCAAGGATACAAGAATACACGCATCCTCTCAATGTCAAGGCTTAGTCCTCCAGAACCCCATCAATAAAAGTCCTCAACAAACTGTGGTTTCTTTTTTTTTAATATATAAGAGAAAATTGGTACATACGTGAGAAACAACCCTTAACTGTGTTTAGTTTAATTAAATTAAATGAAAATGCAAGTTAAATAAAACTACATTTAGATGCCTTTTCAAGATCGTTACTATCTTTGAATCTAACCCCTGGTATGTCAACTCAAATGACAAGGGTGGCCCTTAGCCTAAAAAGTGCATCGTGCTTACAATCTTTGCAGTGGTGAAGTAACAAAGAAAGATAGAATATATTTTACAGCCCAAAGGAAAAAAAAACTTTTAGAGATAGAAGATATTCGACTCATCCGCACTAGGAGACTCAGGTATTTTGAAGACAAGAATTATGCTCCTTACAGGTCTACGTTCCTACAGGAGGAGGCCAGGGATGCCTTGTCTCATTCTTGGACCAGCTGACCCCTTGTGGTTAAAATTAGTAGCATTTTAGATTTGTACCTTAGTGTAAAGGTTGAGTCCCACAGCAGTTGCCAAGGCAGTGCTGGTAGCGGTGAAATAAGCCACTCCAATTTGCCTGAATTATCCAAAGGGATATAAAATAATAGAAGTTGTGGCATTAGTCATTTTAAAACTGCAGTTGTGTAATAAAGAGTCTTATCATTCACATGAATTTTTAAAGGCAAATGTAATCACAGCCCTTATACTCTTTTCCTTAAACAAGAATGAGCTTTGTGGAAAACTTTTTCTGCATGGACTTGTGGCTTCTCATGAAAGATCTATGATATAAAGAGATACATATGTTTTACACATCTAGCTCTGTGATACAGCCAGGAAATAAAGAATGGCCATGAAGTCGAAGTAGACAATGTAATAGGAAAACCAGGTTTTTCTGAAAATCAAGAGGAATCTGGCATCACCCTTTAAGACTAATTTTCTTAAAAGGACTAAATGTGTTTGTGAGCTACAAATGTGCCAGACTCCTTCTGATACATGAAGTCACAGGTAATTCTATTGGGCTCAGCATAAAATCCTTTATATATAGCCACTTCCCCATATCAGGTCCCATCCCACACTTACCCCACTCCAGCTGATACTCAAAAATAAAGTTCTGAGTTGAATAAACCATGAAAGCTATATAGAGGAGCAGCAAAAATAGATCTATCTCGATTGTCCCTTTCCAACAGTTGACCATTTTCTATTCCCTGAAGTCAGTTCTGGAAATACTATGCATCCAAATGATAAAGTACAATGGCTAGCAAAACTTGACCATATACCCACACTGTCTACACCCCAAGAAAAAATTTCCTCATAGCAATGATTCCAGACAGTGCTGTAGATCAAAACTAAAGCAAAGTTAGCTAATTGGATCATAAGGAGCATTGGATGAAAACTATGCTATCAGGTAATCCTGAAGAGACACTTACTTGACCGAGATGGGGCTAGCTGCATTCCGGTTGGTGTAATTCACAATGGCGTTAAAAGACTGATTTACCCACTGCCAAAACACCACAGCCGGGACTGTTCTGTAAAGAAAAAAAAAGTGAACATAGATTCAAACATCTGAGTAGGTACGTGTCTTCCAGATAGCTGTTGTGGCCTGTCAACGGCCTGCGTGGATCATGGCTGATCCCGACGAGGAGGCTGGTGTGGGGTTGCGCCAGCAGCCAGCACTCACGTCGGACAGCGAGGAGGCTGAAGAGGATGTGGTGCCAGAGGCAGAGACTCAGCCAGGGCCTTCAGAACCTCCAGAGGCTCCTTCAAGTGGAGAGAGCGAAGTGGAGGAGCCTCTCCTCAATGCTCGAGCACGCAGGGCTGCCAAAAGGCAGGAGCGGCTACTCAGGAGGAGGAGGTCTCCTCGAGAGTAAGGCTTGAGGATAATTGGCGACTCCCTTAGCCTATTTAAGTTGCACACAGTTAGTAATTTCTTGCTGGAAACAACGTGTAATTATTACAGAGCATTTTGGAGAGTGAGTGTCTTATTGTATCTTGTTTTCTGGGCTGGTTGCCAATCTTTGCCAGACTTTGTTTATTCTTGGTACGTTATAACTTTGATAAGGACTGTTGGTGTGTGTCACAATCCTTGGGAATCTGGAGCTGGGGCAGAACAATAGCTGAATGTGATAGAACCAATGTTATCTCTCTTCTGGACCCATGTAATAGCCTTGATCAGACACTGATTTTATTACTACTATTATAATTTTTTTATTATAAAAAAAACCCTACATCATAATCAAAAACTGTCTATTAAAATGCAATTAAAACAGCCGAAAGAATCCTAGGTAAACAAAGCACAAAGTTCCATGTTAGTAAAGATGAAAAAATAGTTGAAGAAAAAGAATAACAAAGGAACAATTCGAACAAAAGATATAACAGAGTTATAGAACTGTAATTAAGAAGCAGCAGGGGGAAAAAAGGCTACAGTTGATGGCTGGATTCTCACAACATGCAAGGGTAAAAAGTGGCAATTTGTGACCAAGCACGTAGGGTAAATCTAGCCAGTATGATGAATATAAGCTTGACTGGCTTATGTAAACATTCCACTGGGTATACTGAGAAACTGCAAAGCATTGGGAAACAAACTCTGGTTCCACTTTGTGAGACTAAGTAGATTGTGTCGGTGTCTTAGTTGAAAAACTATGCAGTCTCAACATTTCATTTATCATATAACTTTGTGTATAAATTTTAGCCTTTGTAATTCTTTACCATTAAAAAGCCATTACACGGAGGTGGTGTTTTAAGACATGTAGTGTCCTTGGCAACAATTAAGTGGTATAGCATTGCCATTTTCTGGATTGATTTTCTTTCCACTCTGGCTGACAGCCTGAGCGTTTCTTTGTGGTCTGCCATTCAAGTCCAGTTTTGCGGGATCAGTCAAAGTCAGCTACGTTATTGCTAGACAAATTCATAACTTGTTTTGCGAAATAAAGTTGGTTATCTGATATTTTAATTCCTTTGAAGTGAGTATTTGAATGTTTGAAAACAAGAGTATTTTGAGGGGATGAGGATGAAACGTAACTTTTAAGTTGCATAAGGAAGACTATATTTTGAATGTTAGGCAGACCATACCAAAAGAAACAGGCAATATTTACATGAAGTTAAATTAAAATAAAAGAATTGATTAGATCATGCCCTTTATACTTAAGCGTTTTTCTCTTCTGTCAGATTGAAACATTCCCTTGGCCCTATTTTTAGGAAGAATAGATACACTAGGCTTCCAGATTGCATTAAGACCTAGGATTTCAGGTTATATACCTTTACTCTAAGTATTGGGGGTGAAAACACACACACACACACACACACACACACACAGAGTCATAGTTTATGCATCCTGCTAAATCATCCATGGCTTAATTGTTTTTGCATATTAGTGAAATACGACTTCATCTACGGTTTCTAGTTTATTTCACTAGGAAGCAAAAAAATAAAGCTATATTAGTGCTTGGCATATTTCTCCCTGCTGATACTGTTTTGGATACAGATATTGCATCCATTGTTTTACTAATAAATAAATACATCATAGAATTATGAAATAAAAAGGCCCAATCATGCCATCAAAACCAAGCCCCTGCTAAGTGCAGGAATCCATATTAAAGCATCTTGGACTAGGGTTAATATATACCTCATTTTCTGCCCAACTTCCCCAAATTTAATCTGCACAAAGTATAGACTGTTTATCTCAATCTGGGACCCCGCTGTCTTACCCCGAAATGCAGCTTGTTTTTAGACTATCCCACAAGCCTTTCTTAATTGATATTAATATCAACTATTGGGAAATTTTGTTCTAAAATATACAATACTTGCTTAAATCTCAGCATTAATGCAACAGTGTAGGATAAGGATAACAAAGAATGTCCATGTATATTGTATAAAGCAGCGTCTGTGAGACAACTGAGTGAGGAATGAAGGAGAAAAGAGAGCAATGAATCTCAGAAAAAAATGCCTCTTCTTACCTGTAAAATTGCAGCATGCAGCCTGTGATAGCCATTCCTCCAGGGACTTGAAACGACATTCTCCCTATTAAATTCATTTTTTCTCCTGAATCAGGATGGAAAGCTGAATCATAAAGCTTTTTGGCATAGAAAAGCTGTTCCTCGCTGGTTCCAGGGGGTACTGATCCTGCCCTAGAGGTGCAAAAAAGAAATACCTTCCTAGTTTTATACCTCTTAATGGTATCAGTACACAACAGGGGTGAAATGGTCCTGGTTTGGACCGGATCGCCTGATCCGGTAGCGATGGTGGCAGGTGGTTCGGAGAACCGGTAGCAAAAATCCCTGCCCCCCCCATGCCCAGCTGAGCCACGCAATCAGAGGCTTTTTAAAAAAAAAATTAAAAGCATTTTTTCTACAACCTCTTCGGCCTAAAAATGCTTTTAAAAGTTAAAAAAAAAAGCCTCTGATGATCGCGCGGCTCAGCTGGGATTGTCAGAGGCTTTTAAAAGCATTTTTTCTATAACCTCTTCGGCTGAAGAGGTTGTAGAAAAAATGTTTTTAAAAGTAAAAAAACCTCTGATGATCAGGCAACTCAGCTGGGATTGTCAGAAGCTTTTAAAAGCATTTTTTTTACAACCTCTTCGGCCGAGGTTGTAAACCTTTTAAAAAAATGGTTTTAAAAGTAAAAAAAAAAAAAAAAAAAGTTGGCCACGCCCACCCAGTCACATTCCCCACCAAGCCAAGCCCACAGAACCGGTAGTAACAAATTTTACATTTCACCACTGGTACACAGCACATGCCTCTTAAAAATTGTGCACTGGAGCTTTATCTTGAAACAAGTGTGAGTGCAGGTTGGGGTCTTAACATTCAAATTTGTTGTATGCTAAAGTACCTCAATGCAATGTGCAATGTGCAGAGTGTATACAAGAAATTTAAGAAACCTTCAATTTCTACCCAAGGCAGAAAATCTAAACTCAACACAATTAGTAGAAGCAAACCAACAATATCGCCTTTTTGGATGATTAAATCTTCCAATAGCATCAAATCAGGTGCTTGAGGCAGCTGTTTCATTCTGTCTAGTAAATAAGGCTGGCTCTGTTTGTATAATACTATGCACTATTCTGCCTTGCATTTCAATTCGCAAGAGTGTGAGATTTCAATACATGTAGATTTAATTTTCTAGTAGTAAGACAGGCAGGGAAATCCTTTCGTAATGAAAGGTTTCCTTTTGTGAAAGAATCTGTTCTCAGAAGAGGTTTGAGTATCCATTTAAGAATTATCATCACCCAATGGCAATAATGACTTTAACAATAATGAATCATTTTATTGTCAATTAATATTTTTATTTATTTATCTATTTATATTAGACTTATTTCATCTCACTCAGAGGCGATATCATTACTATTTGTTAATGCTCCACAAATAAATGCACATAATCATGTGAAGAAAATGAAAAAAGGGGAAAAGATAACAGAAACACTTTTTAAATAAATTAAAATAAAGTTAAAAATGAAAAAAATTAGTAAAAACATTAAATTCTAAATTCCGTTTCATTGTACTTGATTGAGTGCATCAAATTATTTTTAATATTGGAATTGGTTCTAATTACTGTTTTTACCTCAATTATTTCTCCTTTTAAAAAAAGTACTGTAGGTTTCTGTGTTTGACTAAATTTATATAATATGTCACACAACAAGGCAAACATCTATTTTGGATGTATGTTGTTCATTTTGTCACTAATGTGTATTTGCCAAATTTGGTTTTCTAGTCTGATATTGTTGGTAAAGGATGTCAGCACCTCAGCGCTGGCATAGAGAGGAGAGAGATAATTTCTGAACTTTTGCCTGCTAAATCCCTTTGAAATCGGGTTGTCGTGGAAATGAGAAGGGGGGGAGACATTCCTGGGAAATGACGTGACAAGAAGTCTGGAGAATGACTTGGAAGATAGCCAATGAGAAGCAGAGAATTGGGGATCGGAAAGGGAGGGATTGGGGGGCAAAAGGTCAGTCTTGTCCACATCGAGTCATGATCCGGTGGCTGTGCTCAATTAAAGAAAAGATTTCCTTAAAGATTGGCAGTTTGGAAATTCATTTATTTTGAGATAGCATCGAAGTCTGACAAAGTGTCTCTTTTATAGTATTGGACCAAATTTGTCTTTGCGACTGTCACCACGTCTGATTGGTTTTATTGATACATTTGAACAGAGGCAACTCTTAGATTTTACAAAAGCTCCAAATTTGCTTGATATTATTCAGCAACCTCCCAGTTGATTACCTGCAGTTCTCTACAATTGTCTTTGCTGAATCCAACGTTTGCTCTGACACCAGCAGCGTCCGTGGATCTGTGATGTTGAAAAAGTGCTTTACACGCCCCCAAAAAGTATTCTGGTCCCAGCGAGGGGCATCAATATTAAACTTGGCAATACTTGCCATTGTTCACTGCAGAGGGAGTACAGAAGAAAGGACAAGTTATAAATCAACACTGTTGCTCTCTGCTTTTTTTTGCCAAGCTGTCACCCAAAAATAGTGAATTACATTTTAAAGATTGTAGACAAAGGAAGAATGTACCTGTTAGCATTTTGTCCTACTGATTTATCAATTGTTTGCCCCACAGATTTGTGTGGAGAGAAGATGAGAATTTTGCTTGCTAAGCCAAACAGAGGAAGACAGCAAAAGACAGCTGGTGAATTCAGCTGCTGCACTCTCGGACTGTACAATTTTATTCAGAGTACACAAAAATCTTTACAAGCTTTGCCACTTGTCCAGAACAAATTAACTAGCTGTGTTTACTATGCACAGCCAGCATTTAGTCACAATTTCATACACCATTTCATGGAATCTATACTGTAACACATAAAAATAGCATCAATATAGTTTTTTTACAAAACACAATAGGTTAAAAAAACACGATACTTATACTATACTAACTATTCTAATACTGTATGTTATAATCATATATGTACTTGAATAATAATTGCATTAAATAACTATTTACTGTTAACATAATGTTTTTATATCCTTCTTTGTTGTATTTTTTTCACTTTTAAAAAATTCTATGTGTTTTCTATTTCTTTAATAATATACCATATTTTTCGGACTATAAGTCGCACCTAAATTTAGAAGAGGAAATCAACAACAAAAAAAGTTTTTGACCTCCACGTGCCCCATTTTTGGGTGATTTTTGGGCTTTTTCCAGCCTTTTTTCGGCCCATTTTCAAGGTTTTTTTCTGCCCGTTTTCTATGCTCTTTTGGGGCCGTTTTCTAGGCTTTTTTCAGGCTGTTTTCGAGGCTTTCTTCAGCCTGTTTTCGAGGCTTTTTCCAGCCCGTTTTCGAGGCTTTCCCCAGCCCATTTTCAAGGCTTTTTGCACCCTGTTTTTGAGGATTTTTTCAGGCCTTTTCCCCAAAAAAATTGGCCAAAAAAGTCTCAGAAATGTGCCAAAAAAAGCCTTGAAAATGGACTAAAAAACCCTCAAAAACGGGCTGAAAAAAGCCCCGAAAATGGGCAGAAAATGGGCCTGAAAAAGACCCCAAAAGGCACGAAAATGGGGCGTGTGGAGGCAAAACAAAAACTGTTGGGGGTGGGAGGGACTTCAGTAATATTCAGTCTATAACATGGAGAGACATTTTCATCCCCTTTTGGGAGACAAAAAAGTATGTCCGAAAAATATGGTATGTATCGTTATTTTTGTGAGTTTTTTTTTATTTTTGTCACTAATTTAAAAAGCAATAAAATAAAAAATAATTACCTAGGAGTTTAGTTTCAATATGGTGGACACAAAGATTCTAGAAAATCCAAAGCAGCTTTTTTTTTTTTTTTTTTTTTTTGCACCAAATAACAGGATCCCATCAGGTATAAGCTTGATAGATAAGCCATGATCAAATCATGGCCAAAGATGGATAATTCATAGAAACACCTCAATTTCATGGACATTTGAAATATTGTAATTGATAAAGCTACTGAAAGGGTTGGAAATTATGTGGAAAAGCCAATTACTAGCTTATATGATGTTTGTTCAAGCAATGAACTTTGGTATTAACTGGATCACAGGGTGTATGTTCAGTCATTCAAAAATACTATCCACTCAAAGCAGATTTTTATTGGCCTGTTTTTTCCATAATGGGTACTTAGTACAAATGGAAACTGCTAAAATAATTGTTACATATTCCTAAGAAATGCTGCATGTACATTCTCTTAAAATATAGTCAACAGTCAGCCTCAAAATTAGTGCAGTGTTAAAAAAGACCATAAATATTTACTGATTGGTGTCCTCAGCAAACATTCAGTAATGCATCCCACATCCATTCTCTGAAATCTTAAAAATTCTAAGAACTGATGCAGCAAACTAAGAATGTTTTCTTTGAGCTCCAAATTGCTATGTAGATTTGGACAATGGCAATAATGCTTAAAGTTTTAGGTACAGATATAGTCTCCCCTTTTCCCTAATCTACCTGGACTAATATCCTACAATGACCCATGCCTTCCTCTAAATTACTGTAACGTGCTGGATATTGCCTGGACCTGAAAAATATTTAGAAACAACTAATGCAAGCAGCACCTGGTATGCATGTCAAAATGAGTCCTGAAATAACTTCACTGAATTCCAATTTATTTCCAAATTTCTCCAAGTTGCTTACTCATACCTATATATCTTGGACCAAGTTATCTTGAAAACTATTCATATAAATCTGCCAGAGCCTGCATTATGAAGTGAAGATCAGCTTTTATGTCCCATATCCTAGAGCAGGGGTCCCCAAACTTGGCAGCTTTAAGACTTGTGGACTTCAATTCCCAGAATTCTCCAGCAAGCTAATTCTGGGAGTTGAAGTCCACAAGCCTTAAAGCTGCCAAGTTTGAAGACCTCTGTCCTAGAGATTTATGATTTTAGGGGCAGGACCTTTCAGTTATAATTATATTTAAAATTTCCAAAACCTGGACTTTTGAAAGTACTGTTTGCTGAACAAGCATCAGGGTGGTTGTTTTGCCTGTAATGTGGATTCACAAAACACATTTTGCCAAAAGCAGATACCGATGCATGTTATTTGTGGCCTAGGCTTTTGCAGAAGGTGGCTTGAGTTTAGGAACTTTTTTCCTAGATAGACCAGGCTGGCTCCCTCAGTGTGGATGATAGGTAAAAACTATACTGTTCTGCCAACATTTTAATAATTATTGCCATTTCTTCAATTTAAAAAGCTTTTTAATGTAATGCATTGAAACATATTACTTATTGTCTTTTACTGGGTTTTTAGTTTTTGTTTATATTCTATTCTTATGGTTTTTCCTCTAAATGATCTCAAATAATGGGGAAGATCGAATCTGAATAATAATTATTATTATTATTTATATGCCGCCCTTCTCCGGAGACTCAGGGCGGCTTACAATGTGCTAAGCAATATATATTCAATAAATGGAGGTAAATACCTCCAGTGCTATTTAAATAATGTTTCTATAGTCGGGGTAGTGCACCTTTGGACTGTAGAGCTGTTTTAAAGACGAAGCATTGCTGAAACTAATATCTAACACCATTTCTTTTAATTGCTAGAGGTATAATATTCCAGTTCTATATGTGCATCCCCCAAATATGCCATTATTGGAAACAACTGATTATATAAAAAAGAAGTGTTTCACAATTTTGCATCTGCACAATTCGAAAGGTTTAATTCTAAGAAAACTCACCTCTATTTTGTCATAACCAGGATGAAGACAAAGATCTTTTAACAGAGAAAGGGATAGATCAGGTATGTCAAACTCATGGCCCGCGGGCCGGATGCGTCACACCCACCCCTGGTTTAGCGAAGAAAAAAAAGTCACGATATGTCACGTGACAACAATGTGACACCGCGAGTTTGACACCCCTGAGATAGATAGATTGGGGGGGGGGTGTTGCTTATGCTGTTTCAACCATATCTTTGTTTGTTTTAAAGAAAAGGCAAGCTAAAAATAATTAAAATACTGATGCAAGAGAGTTCTTAAAACATTGGAACGTCTCGAGACTAATTTTTAATAGTAAAAACCAACATGCAAAATGTTTAAGCTTTTCTCAAGGCAAAGGCATTCAAGACTACCAAAATTATTTAAAAATTGTCTGCAGCAACAAGCTTACTGGGCTGTGAAAGAAGCACTATGTAACTTATCTTGCTAAACCACAGTTTATAAATCACAAAGGCAGGGTTCACAAATAAGCAGAGAATGTTGCAATTTGTGAGGGAGACACTCTGTGGGAAGCTATCAGGGCTTAAACCACAGTACACGGGAAGGGGGAAAAAAGTCTGCTCGGGGTAGAAGCAATGGCAAATCATTTCAATTGTTGTGATTGAAGTCTGGGGACAAGTCCATGAAGATACTAGGAGTCATGTTCAAATAAAAAAGATGTTTCTTTATTGTATGTATATAGACCTATACTCCTTACATACATTGGAAAATTTCTGGCTGTTCATCACAAATGCTGTATATAAAGAAATAAAATCATTCTGTTTAGAATTACATAAGCACTTTTTCCTAACACTCCTGAATTACAGCCATGAGAAAATTCTTATTTCATTGATTTACTGGCACATTTTATATAAACCTGGAATTTTAGTTAAAATAGTTGCTAACGTGGGATACCATTTAATAGTTCACACATTCTAAACTATTATGTGTGAAAAGTCACCACTGAAAGCTTTATTAGATGTTTTTCTATTAAATTCACAAAGCAATTTGAGACAATAGAACTCTTTATATTGTTTATTTCCACCTTTGAAGCACAGATGAATAAACCGATAAAATGAATAGTTTTTGTTCTGCTTTTATTCTCTTACGAACACTTGAATGAACTTTGACAAAATTTAGTTTTATTTTATTGTGTACAACACTTTACTCAGTCTGGTCCCCTCACCCCCACCCTGGCTACATTGGATCAACACCACCCTTGGGTGCACAATTTGTTGCTTGTCAAGAAGAGACCAAGTTGGAACAAGCTAATATATGGGAATAACAGACTTGCCATACAAAGCAGTTATGATAACAGGTAATAAAAGGATTTAGAGTGCTATGCTCAGATGAAAAATAAGGTCATATTTTACTCTAATTCAACATCTTAACCACAAATTACTCCATGTAATCAAGAAAACACAAAAAAAGAAGATAGGGCAGAACATGCTGATTTTGTTTTTGACATGGTTGGAAGAAGAATATCAAGAGCAGCTGCAATGTCAAGAATGTGGGAAAGATTTGTAAACCAAAGTTCATTTTACTGTGGTGAAAAAGCAAAAATTTCACTTAAAACAAAATGTAGCTTACATTTTAAAAAAATATTCTGAATTTTTCCTAATACTCACAATAGATTATACTATAGTTATGTGAAAGTTCTGAGTTCTTTAGTGAGTCATTCTGTTGAGAATCAGGACAAAAACACTCCCTTCTTCAACCAGAATATATGTAAGATTTTTAAATATTCATAGTAAAAATGTGCAAAACTTTTAACAGGCAGTTTAAATCGAGTTATCTTACTCAGCAAGTGTACAGGTTAGCTTTTTGTTACAAAATAATTAGATCTCAAAAGACTAGGGAAAAACAGAACTAAATGCCCTTGACTGCTAAGTAAATATTCAACTCCTTTTGTTAATGGACAGCACACTCTCTTAAGTAGATAACTAAAACTACAGGTACAGAACTCCAGAAATCAACATAAATATAAAGGACTTTGCCCACAGGACTGAAAACTGATAGAAAGAGGGGCTAGACACTGAGAGCAGAAAGGAAGCACTGATTATTTAATTATATCATATTTAAATCTGTAAAATAAATTGGAATATCACAAAACAGAAAGTATCTCCTCACTGCAATCCCATATTTGAATACTATACATAGATTGATATCCAATTTTGTACATGGAACTGAGAACTAAAATACTAAAAGCTATATGGTTTGCATCACCAACTGTGGATCTCCTATTTATGAGGCTGAGCAAATCCTTCTCCAAATCCAATAATTCCTACAAATGTGAACTTACAATATTTATATTGACTAGGTTTGCTCAACACATTACGTAAGGCTAAATGGCAATTAGATAGTTTATGGCTCAGTGTTGTGTGGAACTTAAACCATAA